GTTTGTTTGTTCTAGCTCTGTGAAGAATGCTGGTGTTTTCACCTCTTTGGTTAGGTTTATTCCTAGGTATTTTGTGGGTTTGGGTACAATTGTAAATGGGACTGATTCTTTGATTTCTCTTTCTATTGCTTCTTATTGGTATGTAGAAATGCAACCAATTTCTATGCATTGATTTTATATCCTGTGACTTTACTGAATTCCTGGATCAGTTCTAGCAATCTTTTAGATTTTCCATATAGAGTATCATGTCCTCTGTGAAAAGTAAAAGTTTAATTTCCTCCTTGCCAATTTGGATGCCTTTTATTCTTTTGTGTTGTGCTTGCTGAAGCTAGGACTCGTGGAGATGTTTTCTAATCTTTTCTCATACATGTTTGCCAGTGATCTATTGGTTTAACTGTGAAGAGGATCTCTCATTTTCAGTACCGAGGCCATAAAAACATTTGGGACCATGGTGATGCAGAATGATTCTGGCTGTAAAGCCCACAGCCAGCCCCCTTGTGAATGGTTTTAGAGGCAGGCATCCTGCCTCCTGCTCCTCACTGCCCTGGAGTTCCTCCCTATTGTGATCTTCTGATCGGCCTTCAGGGATAGTTTTACTTTCATTCCCGGAAGCTGTCATTTTTGGTCAAAGTAATTTTGAATAACTTTGACAAATTTTGCCCGAGTAGAACTGTAATGAACTGGAGTATGAGAACTATTAACAACTGCAATATTTCTCCAATTTGATGGTGTGGTAAAGCCCTCCTTCTCCTTCCTCACAATCAAATAGCTCACAGTGTTTGAAATGGTTTTCCAGCCTTACTTTCTACAGTAAACAATAGGTACTGGCATTTTAAACTGACCTTTAATTCTTCTGAACCAGCACATTATTTCTGGCTTATTGGTTATATAGAGAAAATGAACAACGAAAGCAGTCTTAATAATGTTCACATCTCCCACTGAAAGTAGTATACAGAAAAAAAATTTAAAAGTGATCACCCATGTACTTATTATTTATTTTGAGAGAGAGAGTGCATGCACGCAAGCAGAAGAGGGGCAGAGAGAGAGGGAGGGAGAATCACAAGCAGGCTCTGTGCTCTCAGTGCAGAACCTGACATGAGGCTCGATCCCACAAACTGTGAGATCATAACCTAAGCCAAAATAAAGAGTTGGAAGCTTAACCAACTGAGCCACCCAGGCTCAGTGTACTTATCTTACTCCATACTTACTCCATAAGTACTCAGTGAACCCGTGTACTTATCTTACTCCTTAAGGGTTCCTTCTAATCAAGATAGGCAATTATGAGGTTCAGGTGCACTGTGAAGCTTCAAAAAGAAATAAAAAACATCTGTATTTTTATGTGCTTTAAACTTAAATGAAACAAGTTAAATATATCTATATCCTTATGCACATCTTACTTCATTTACCATTACAAAAAAATAGTCAAAAAAATTAAAAATTTGTTTCACAGGCCAATATATCTAATGATGATGACATTGTCTCCATAAAATAGGGAAGCACTGATTTTATTTAGGAATAATCAACACATTTGGAAACCACCTTGATGTGTAAATGAAGGACTATTTTAACAAATAAAACTGGTTTGGGGCAAAAGTTATCTTATAATGAGCCAAACTGACATAAGAATAAGAAACCATAATGATCTCTCTCAGCATACCACCAACTTAGAGTATGTCCTTTGAATTTCCTATGCACAGAAATGATTTTTTCTGTGCCATTTACACTCTCAACCAGATCCTAAAGACACATGTTAAGAACATAACTGGACAAGGTCATAGACACATTTTGTAACAGGAAGGTCTCTGGGTACAGCACTGACCTACACATGCACAAGAACTGTGACCTTGGCCTCATTAGAATAATGACCCAATCGGGGTGCCTGGGTGACTCAGTTGGTTAAGCATCCGACTTCAGCTCAGGTCATGAGCTCACGGTTCGTGAGTTTGAGCCCCACATCAGGCTCTGTGCTGACAGTTCAGAGCCTGGAGTCTGCTTCGGATTCTGTGTCTCCCTCTCTCTCTGCCCCTCCCCCACTCACACTCTCTCAAAAATAAATAAATGTTAAAAAAATAAAAAAAAAATAATGACCCAATCAAGTGACCTAATAGTCATAGTTTTACAACTGCATGAATATAAACCATATTTCATTTTGCCTTGATTATATAATATCTGATCCAAGTAAACTAGGAATACAGTCATAATGGCATTGGCACTCAACTACAGTTATTTATATGAAAATAAAAGCCAAGCTAATTTCCTTATTAAAGAAGTTCTTAGGAAACAAAAATAGGTGTTATCTATTATAATTTGTAACATCATTTTCATTGAGAAAGGAATGAAAAGGAAATTCTGATGGCAAACTTTGTCAGGTGGTAATTTCCAGCAAAGAGGCCTTAAAAATCATAGTCCACAATAATGCTGATTAACCACTAAGGTCATCTGCTCTCAAAGCTTGCTATTTTCCTGTTATTCAAACATGCAACTGCCTGGTTTCTTCATATGTGAGATGGGGTAATGTCTACCTCACTGGATTGTGAGAAGTCATTGATATAATTAGATTCTCAGTTCTGAACACATAAAGCTTTCCCTTTTGTAATTAAACTTGTAGTTCACCATAAAGATGTATTAAAAGTAATATGGCAAAATCAGTCAACTCCCACTGTCCACAGGAAGGGGGCTGCCAATAGAGCACAGCAAAATGTGGAAAGTGTACAGGGCCTCACAACTACCACTTGCTGAGGGTTTATGTATGAGCCAGGCACTATAATGAATACTTATAGTCTCAGTACTTAAAACCACCATCTCCATTTAAATGATTTGCAAACTCAGGCAATTTTTTTAATACTGCACCATTGCTACAACTCAGAATTCTGAGCTCTCACAATTGGTGCAATCAGATTGATACATAGCAAATCATTAACATCCATGGAAGTTCCTGGAAGGAAGGCCACAGACTGGTTGGCCACAGACTTCTGGTGAAAGTTTTTTTCTTTCTTTTTTTTTAAATTTATTTTGAGAGAGAGAGAGAGAGTGAGCGAGCAAGCAGGGGAGGGGCAGCGAGAGGAGAGAATTCCAAGCAAGCCCCAAACTATGATATGAAGCTCAAACTCACGAACTGTGAATTCATGACCTGAGCCAAAATCAAGATTTGGATGCTTAACCAGGCAACCCTCTTGTGAAAGTTTCTATGCAAAAGATCCTGCTGGTGGATTAGCAAGGTCAGTAGCAGGTAGTCAGGGTAGAAAGGTGTGTTTTGGGGGGCCAGGTGTGTGTAGGAAAGTGTGTTCCTAGAATAGGGTCTGTTTCCACCTGTAGAAAACCAAGAGTTTTGGTGAAAAGAATCTTATTACTCTCTGGAGTGCCTGGTTGGCTCAGTTAAACGTCTGACTTCGGCTCAGTCATGACCTGACAGCTCGGGGTTCAGGCCCGGGGTTGGGCTCTGTGCTGGCGACTCAAGAGCCTGGAGCCTGCTTTGGATTCTGTCTCCTTCTCCCTCTCTGCCCCTCCCCTGCTCACGCACTCTCTCTCAAAAATAAATAAACATTTTTTTAAAAAAAGAAAGAAAGAAAAGCATCTTACTACTCTCAAAACTTACCTCAGTTACTTACTGAGCATGCCCAATGGTCATGACTAAGGGGCATGGCAGATAAGAGGTGGGAAGCAAAGTGAAAAATAGCTGAATACAAAAGGAATCACAAGTTGATACTATAACCTTGGAACAACTTTGGTTAAAGTGAAGTAAATTACATGAAGAAAAAAAAAGGCTCCTTGTTATTAGGAGAGAGGACCTCAAATTTTAAAAATCTTTGTAAATGGTAAACACAAGTTTACTAAGTTATTCACTATTGAAATAAGCTCTTCATGGACCCACCATCTTCTTCAGCACTCCAATTCACTGGAGGGGAGAAACTTCTTCCCGGAAGCAAACCCCCACCCCTCAATGTGGTTCAGCCGAAACTACTCACCACAGTAACTTAATTTTCTTACACACCTTATGAAAGATTTCTTTTAAACAAGGGGCTAAAGACTGTGAAAATAGTTGCAGTAGGTTATCTTAAAGCTGAACTACACAGGATTGAACAAGATGTGTGTTAGATATATCAGGCCCAGACCATCCCTTAGTACTTACATCATTAACGACAAAACTTAGGCTTTTTGGAACACTGGCCATGGTTAGATTTGCACTATACTGGTAGCATATAGAGTGGTGTTGGATGCTTGATCCAGATACCAGTTTCTATAGCTACCACCTTCTTCCCAACCACCAATCTTCAACTGAGAATAGTCACCATACTGGTCAGAGGCAAGTGCAGGTCAAAACTGAGGAATTTAAATGCTGAATTTTAAGTTCTCAAATGTTGACTCAGTTAAATTATGCTACTAAAAAAGAGCCAAGAGTCAACTAGAAGATATCCCTAGCTACAGCTTAATAAGAGGAAAATAAGTGGAAACTATATATACACACACACACAGTTTGTATACATATATATAGTGTGTGTGTACACACACACACACAAAACAAAGTTTCACATGTCTGCACATTACTTGGTACCTCAATACATGAAATGCATAATTCAAATAATGGGTAGCACTTCACTAATTCTATATATGACTATCCATATTTCTTTTTTACTTTTACTAATAAGCTCCTAGAACTGGTAATTCTTAATTAAAATTCAAACAAAAACAGAAACTATAAATTTCAAAGCTAAAAGAGCCAGTTTGTTACCATGAAGTGTTTATCATATGTATTTAACAACACAACTTCTTTCGGGACCATATTATACCCAAACTGAACACAGGTATTCAGTTTACATATCAAAAGAGGCTTAAAAAAAAATCCCAGAATTGTTATTCATTCTTTCCATAAGAAAATTCTCGAATTAATCATACAAACTATAATTTCTAACCAGTTTTTACTTCTAATTAAACAAAAATCAAAAAACCAACAAAAAACAAAATCCCACACTCATGAAAGTCATGACCAAAGCAGACTTCAATACTTGTCAACTGTTGGGAAAAAGCAGTAAAATTTATTGTGCTAAAAGAGAGGTTATCCTTTATGAACGCCAAATTTAGAGAAATCATGTAGCATTCCCATGAACAAAAATAAATAAATACAAATAAGGGAAGAGAAAACTTTTATTACTAAAAATTTAAGTCTAATTCTATTTAATTGGGAGTATATCAGCAGAAACTCAAATAAACCTGATGATTGAAAATGTGGCTTGGGACTGTAAAAACCAGCTTTTTACCAAAGTTAAATTTCAACTGATTCTACAATCATATTTAGTCTGGGAGCTTAGGATAAGAACCCAGGGTGATCTCACTATATAGTCTGTGATTTTACTATGAAATATTTTAAATTCTAACAGATCAGCCATAGTTTAGAGTACTTGTAACATTAAAAAAAACCCCACAGAATGTTAATTTTGGGCAACAACTTTTATGAAAGTAAAAATCTTTAAAAATTCTAAAGCCATAGAAAATCAGACTGCATGTATTTTAATTGTGGAGAAAAATTAATGGAATTTTAAACTATCAAATCTATTTCTTTCCCGTAAACACAGTATGTATCTTTTTCCTTGAAACGATTTTGGAGCCAGTCAACACCCAAAAATAAAAATACTATTCCTATCTCAGTTTGAAATTTAATGAATCGATAATATTATCTTAGCCAACAACATGGTGAACTGCATTATGTCAGATATATAAAATTGATACAGAAATCACCTAAAAGCTTTGAAATTTTAGAACTGAAGGCTTTCTGCATTTGGAATTTAATGGCTTTTGTGCAAGGGACTAATAAGGTACTTAAAACACTGGAACATCTTAAAATCCCTAACAAAAGGGAAAAACTACTAATACTAGTTTTTAAAACTCACAAGTTATAATAATGCAAATTTGTCATTTTGCTGATTTCCAATTTATACATGCAATATAAATTACAAATATGTATAACATTACAACACCGTCTAAAAGAAACAATGATGTATAAAATATATACGATAAATAAAAGTACTGCATTTAATGTGATTTTCTTGAAAACCAAAGTCATCAAATCCCTTAATGTCATATTAAACATAAACAATACCAGTTCAATTTAGAGGAAATGTATGTCAACACCAGCTTCTGACAACAAAAATAAAGAAGTTAAAGCCCTGCGGTTTGTCTGATTTAGGTCAGATAATCATGGAAACAAAAAAATATTTAAAATTATTTATTTTATCATTATGCACAATGAAGGAAAGCATTATAGAGAGCAGAGTTCTTTCCCACCATAAAATTATTTACACCCATTTATTCAGCTAGAAACACTAGCTAGAAGAGGTACTGGTATATTCCATTTGTGATAATTTCTCTACAGCAAACAATTGTCTTACACTTGGAGCATGTTGAAAAAAATATTGCCTCATAGGTCTTTTTCTTCTTTTGAGTCTCAATCACTAAGAGCTCAAGGTACTTTGAGAGAATCCTGGTGTCCTAGATGGCCAGATGAATGCAATAAAACCAAGCAATGTGTTTGTATTCTTGAAAATACTCTGAAATCCCTCGAAATGTTGCTTGAGTTGTGGAACTCCCATTTCTCCTCCTGGCACTATGACATGTGAAGAGCATTTGCTATGAAAGCTTCACACCAATTTTGTTTTGTTCCTTCTTCATCAGCCGCTGTGCCTCCTTTTCCATTTTCTTCCTTTGTTGTTCCGCCGCTCTCTTTTCTCGGTCTGCTATCTTCTGCTGCCTGAAGAGAAACACAGTCCTATATTTACTTTTAGAAAATACCACACAAGTAAAATGGCAAATAAATTCCAGAAAGAAATAGCTATCATCAAATGTAAGTTCAAAAAATCTTCATTCTTCTCACTGCTTTGAAAACTTCAAAGATTTTCAAAATTAGTATTTCTTTTAATCCTTAAAACAAAGCTTGGAAAATAAGAGTATTATCTCTATTTTACAAATAAGTAAAATGAAGAACAAAGGCCGAGTGCCTTGCCCAAAGTCATAAACTTAAGTAAAAGAACCCATATCTTCTAACCCCTCTTCTTCTTCAGATTATTTTCACTAAACCACCACCTCCCCTGCACCACACCTTCTTTTTGATAGCATTCAGAAAAGCGTGATGTTGAGGATTAAATCTTCTATTATTATAATAGTTAAAAACACTCTGCTAAAGGAAGTCAAGAACACAGATGTGCAGAACACAATGCCCAAAGAAAATGGAAACTTCACACCAGCCTTCCAACTGGAAGCTAGAAATCTATTTACAGATTAACACTTGGCCAGCTCTACTGATGAAGGGGCAGAATGGTGGGTATTTACTGAGTATACATTAGGAGATCCTTACCTCTTCCCTGGCCCCTCCCTGACTCTACAGACCTAGAATCACCAGCCTCTCTTTTGTCATTTGACTGACTCATGTGGGGAGTGAGAGTAGTAGGGGGTGATGGAGAGGAGAGAAAAGAACCGAAGCTGGTTCTGGATGAGGGTATGAGAAAGTAAGTCAAAACATGCAAGGTTGAGGAGGGAAGTGGTAGGTCACAGTTGTACGTGGGATAGGCAACACAAGCTTTTATAAAACAGGAAAATCCAGTGTGGATTACCTATATATGGGGCAGCTCGAAGCCGACTCTGGCAAGCGAAATCTTTGTCTCATCGTATTTATAAGTGGGAGTAAGCAGAGAGGTGTATGACCAAAATTCAAGAAAGTACAGAGGGTTTTTAGGCAATACTTTGACCTTCACAGAGTTTTGGAAGAATAGTTTTAAAAAAAAATCTACATTTCACTAGCTCTGATACCTTTCAAGCAAAACTGATAATCTGCCCTAAAACAGTCAAAATGTCAGTGGCAAAAAGGAAGATAAGAATTATAAAGGGTCGGCTGTTTGCAAACAAATAAGCCTCCACCTTGTTACTAGCTGAAGTGTAAATATCAACAATTCATGTTCCTGGAAAATGAAGCAATTTAGAGATTACTGCAGAGAAAACCTATTTTTCCTCTCCAGATACATGCCTGGAATTTCTAAAGTATAGGAATCTTCTTCCTTAACAGTATTGATTACAGTACTGGCAGTATTGCATTGGCAATGGGAAATGGACTGAGTCAGAGGACATGGAGTGTGAATACACTAACAATTTGCAGTGTTCTTCTGGGGACAATAAACCGCAGGACATGAAGTCTCTCCGACTCTAACTTATGCAACTTGCAGCATGAAGCATATATATTACTGACTGATAGGCCCCTTCTCCTAAACTGTCATATAACATAAAACACTAAGTTTAGGGTTTTGGTTTTTTTTGTCTTGTTTTGTTCAGAGTGCAAGAGGATAGGGTGGAAAAAAAAATGTTTTGGTACAGTGAATGTTAGGATACTTGTGAACTCATAAACTGTACAGTACTGTCGTTATTACTGGATTCAGAATGAATGGCCCTTCCTTTATCCTGTGGTTAATGACCACTGTTTATTTATTTTTTTTTTTTTCAACGTTTATTTATTTTTGCGACAGAGAGAGACAGAGCATGAACGGGGGAGGGGCAGAGAGAGAGGGAGACACAGAATCGGAAACAGGCTCCAGGCTCTGAGCCATCAGCCCAGAGCCCGACGCGGGGCTCGAACTCACGGAACACGAGATCGTGACCTGAGCTGAAGTCGGACGCTTAACCGACTGCGCCACCCAGGCGCCCCTGACCACTGTTTATTCTAAAACACTCAGACTTCTATATCTATGATTTATCCAAAAATAGAGTAAAAAAAAAAAGTAACATCTTTTTGGATGATCTATGCAACATAAATGTGGCTGTTTACAATTTAAAAAATAATTCCTTTACAGTGAATAATGATTAAGTGAAAAGTAAATATTTAAAACTCTCATAACTTTACTATTAAAATGTGACCCATCCCTGTTAAAAAAAAAAAAAAAGTATTTAAAATAGGAAGGACAAGACCAAAAAGAAAAAAAAAAAAAAAAAAAAAGCCGTAACTCTCATTTATTTAACTGCACCCTCTGCTGTCTGTTCAAGGTAACTGTAGTTAATTGATAAAGACAGAAATACAAAAATGAAATCAATGAAATCAGTTGTTATTTTCTATCCCTATTATAAAAACTATCTTTTAAAATTAACTTACATCAATGTATTTTACTATATCTTTAAAAAACACAAAAATATGGGGCGCCTGGGTGGCGCAGTCGGTTAAGCGTCCGACTTCAGCCAGGTCACGATCTCGCGGTCCGTGAGTTTGAGCCCCGCGTCAGGCTCTGGGCTGATGGCTTGGAGCCTGGAGCCTGTTTCCGATTCTGTGTCTCCCTCTCTCTCTGCCCCTCCCCCGTTTATGCTCTGTCTCTCTCTGTCCCAAAAATAAATAAACGTTCAAAAAAAAAAAAAAAACACACACACAAAAATAATTTACCCACATTTAAATATCTGAGCTTTTCATCAGTGATGATGGTCACAAACTCAGGGTAAATTTTCTCTTTACTCTTTAATGCAGCAATAGCAAGAATTATATTTATTGCTCACAAAAACACGGAGATAAGAACATAAACACCAACAAAAACAAACCTGAAGACCTCTAGAATAGTATTCTCTTCTCTGTAGAATGGGCAGTACCTGACACAATTATTTACAATTCATAGGGCTTTTGAGTATATCAACTAATAAGATACATATACAAATGTAGAGTGCTATATACATTATTGCCATTCAAATGTGCAGTGCTGGGCACTATTCTAGGCCACAGAGAAACAAAATTAAAGGTAGAATTGCTGACTTAGAGGAATATACAGTGGTGGCTCACATTTCAAAAGGTAACTATGTTTTAGAAGGAAGGTAGTATAAAGCAAATAGTAAATGATGGATATATGAAAAAGATCTTATTTGCTGTTAATAACATTATTACTCTTTTGTTTCTATAATGCTTTAAATTTCTGGTTTCTGTGAAGTTTTAATCATGTAAAATAGTATATGTAGTCTGAAATAAAAAATCTCATATTATCTAAGCTCAAGTGAGAAAGATTTAAGAAAAATAAAATGTTTGGCAGAATAAGCTTTCTTGACTTTGAATGTAACATGAACAAATCTGGTTCCTCTACTCGAGTTGCAGTGTAAATATTACTAAAATACCTCAAAACTTCTTCTGCTTGCCAGGCCGCATCTTCTTCTTCTTCCCATGCATTGGTATTTTCCTGCCAGGTATCTAAGTCACCTAATTCAGGCTACAACAAAACACAAAACAAAATTATGAGAGTAAAGAGCTCTCCTTTCTCCCCTTAGAGATCAAGAAGAGTATCTTTTATTTTTAATTTTTTTTAACATTTATTTATTTTTTGAGAGACAGAGACAGAGCATGAGTAGGGGAGGGGCAGAGAGAGAGCGACACACAGTTTCCGAAGCAGGCTCCAGGCTCCGAGCTCTCAGCACAGAGCCCAACGTGGGGCTCGAACTCATGAACCATGAGACCATGACATGAGCTGTCGGACACTTAGCTGACTGAGACACCCAGGCGCCCTAAGAAGGGTATCTTTTAAAACATAACTCAGATTTTGTCACTCCTCTGTGTCTTCTTCATGTCCTATCAAAGGCCCAGATGATTTGGCCCCTGGTCTGCCTGGAACTCAGGGGTTTCCTGTGATGTGTGACTTTCAGTACTCAGCAGTCCTGGGCAGGTCCAGCTTTCTTCCTATTTTATGTTTTAAAGCATAGTCCTTTTATACTGACTTTTCTTTTTCTGCCTACTTTAAATTGGAATGGACAAGAATGGAACATTTCTTCTTTCGGTTTCTCTCTTTTCAGTGAGCTGACAGGGTGGGGTGGGGACAAGAGAAGAGACAGACTGACTGGAGACGGGATTAGAGGTGCTTCACTACTCTGTGCTGAGATCAACGTGAGGAACTGAAGTTTCCAAGCCGGCACATGCATTTTCATTTAAGCATAAGTAACATACAGATTTTTCAATGGCTCTTACTATGTGGGTCCAAGGCAAACACAATAAATCAGGCAACATTTACTCTTCACCAGAGTACTTCTACATTGTGCTTCCTTCTCCCTGTCCTACTTACCTGATACCAGTAGGCTAGCCACTACCTTCCACTATTCCCCAGGTCAGACCTCTAAAAGTTCACTTTTTCTTCCACCAAACAATAAAAATGCTCATTCCGGAATGTCTACTTAGGTGTGGAAATGACTATGAACATAAAATAACTGGTGTCAATCTGTGAATAGATTTATTGTATTTTCTTTTGAGCGCTTACACCTAAAAATGAAGTAAATCGTATGGTTTTCTCCTAACTGTAAATGTAATACCATCCTCTGCTAAAAAAAAAAAAAAAATTAATATTTTATTTTTAAATAGTCTCTACACCCAAAGTGGGGCTCAAACTCACAACCCCAAGATTGAGAGTCACATGCTCTATGGGCAGGGCCAGCCAGGCACTCCCTCTGTTAAAAAATTTTTAGTGTATTTCTGATTATCTGTTTAATATAAATCTTTAAAATTAAAATAGCTAAATCAAATTAAAAAAAAAACTAAAACCACTGAACCAAATAAAAATGACCCTCTTGAAAAGTTATACCAATTTATCCCACCAACAGCAGCAGGTGAAGCCTTGTCTTCCTGTCATCTGTCAATATGGCCAACGGCCTTCTTTCTTCTTCACTAATTTGTTAAGATTTAAAAATTGTGTCTTATTATTTTACTTTGGATTTCTTTGAGAACATTTCTTCGTTATCAGGCTATGTCTATTTCATATCTGTTTTTCCAGTGAGATATTTGACTTTCTATGTATAAAACACTTAGATATTTAAAAAGTTAACTCCTAAGACCATAAAAAAAGAGTGATATCTGGTCCTTTAGTAAAGATGGCCTTCTAAGTAAAAAAGTTTTAAACGATAAGATTGATTTGTTACATAAAAACAAGTATCTGCCAATCAAAAACATCCAAACCAAATAAAACCAACAACAAACTGAAAAGTTATAAAAGATGACAGAAAAAAGTTAATATCCTTACTATAAAAAGCTATCAAAACAATATAGATGATTAAATTAAAAAAAAATAGAATGTGGAATTTCAAAGAAGCCTAATTGGTAGAATGGGTGATACGTTATTTTTGGAGCAGAGAACAAAGTGCAGTAGATTACCATTCTGTCCTAAGCAATACTCCCTTATTTCATCTGCTTGGAGGAAAATATGTGGAAATAGCATTGGAGATTCTCCACCTACCCTATTTACCTTTTCCAACTCTATAAGGAATTACATATTTACAACTTCATAATGAGCTATAGTAGTGTTATAATAACGTATAACTCCAGTTAAGTGGCAAACGTTTTACTAATTCACTGGAAAAATTTGAACCACTTTACCAATATGGATCAAACATATATGAATAAAGTATAAAACTCAGAAATATAAGAAACATGCTATGTTCTTTTAGAGAAACATCTATGGTACTATTATGCTCTCATAGCATGATGTAACTGCACAGCAGTTATCAAAATCTGCATTATTTATGTGTGATCATTTATTTAACACTGAAACTCCCCCATAGACTGCACTCTTTTGAAGCAAGGACTCTGCCTGTTTTGCTTACTTTCTTCTATGTTACTAGCACCTAACACACTGTCTCACATTAGTAGGAACAGATTTTGATTAATGAATTAAAAACATACATAAACATGGGTCCTCCAAGGAGAGGGTACTCCGAAACACCTGTGCAGTTTAAACAAACAAATAAGATGGTGGTAATTTAAAAATATGTCTGCAAATTCTTTGGCACTCCTTCCTCAAGTGGTAGAGCTGAATTCCTCTCCCCTTGCATGTAGGCCGGATTTACTGACTAGTTTCCAATGAATAAAATAATTGGAGGTGACAGTGTGTCCCTCATAAGACTAAGTCACAAACAGGCATTGTGGCTTCATCTCTGCATGTCCTCTCTCTCTCTCAAGGACTGCTTGTTCTGGAAAACTCAGCAGTTATGTTATATGGAAACTCAAGCAGCCCTGTGGAGAGATCCGTGACAAGGAACTGAGGCTTTGTGCAACCAACCAGCATTAAATTGCCAGGCATGTAAAATGAGCCACCTTTGAAATGATGCCTCCAGTTCCAGTCAAGCCTTCAGATGACTACAGCCCCAGCTAATGATGTGTCTGGAAACTCATTAGAAACCCTGAGCTAGAACCATCCAGTTGAGTCACTTCTGGATTCCCAATCCATAGAAACTGTAGGAGATAAAGCATATGTTTACTGTTTTAAGTCACTAAGTGTGGGGCTGTTATACAATAACTAATATAATAAATTAATCAATAATTAATCAAAGCATGATAAAGCTTAGATCTGGGGAGAAGTCTGGACATTGGTGTTTTTAAAAAAAATTCAAAGGGATGCCTGGGTAGCTGAGTCAGTTAAGTGTCTGACTTCGGCTCAGGTCATGATCTCATGGTTCATGAGTTTGAGCCCCACATCGTGGTCTGTGCTGATAGCTCAGAGACTGGAGCCTGCTTCGGATTCTGTGTCTCCCTCTCTCTCTGCCCCTCCCCTATTCACTCTCTCTTTCTCTCTCAAAAATAAATAAAAACATTAAAAAAAAAATTCAAAGCTGATTCTGAGATCTTCCAAGGTTGGGAAACAGTTATATATTTTCCTTACTCCTTTTGTCCTTAAAACTGATGCATTTAAGTCAAAACCAACTATAAGTCAACTTATACTTTAAATGTAAATATACTCTACTAGGGAAACAATTCATGACTCACTTAAAATTACCTGCTTTTAAGTTTAAATTTCAGTGGTAATCTCTTCAAAGGTCATATATATATTTTTTTAACATTTATTTTGGAGACAGAGAGAGACAGAGCATGAACGGGGGAGGGTCAGAGAGAGGGAGACACAGAATCTGAAACAGGCTCCAGGCTCTGAGCTGTCAGCACAGAGCCCGACGCAGGGCTCAGAACTCACAGACCGCGAGATCATGACCTGAGCTGAAGTCGGCCGCTTAACCGACTGAGCTACCCAAGCGCCCCTAAAGGTCATATTTTTAAGTAACATATTGTCTCGATCTTTTATGTATACAGTGGGACTCTGATCTTAGTTGCTGATGAAATTTACAATCTCATAAAAGGATAAGATTGGTAAAACTCCAGATTAATCTCTCTCAATCTGCTAAACCTGTTTCAAAGCAGAGAAATACAAATATTATGTTCACTTCATTTTGATTTTTTTTCTTCTCTTTTCAAGAAAACAAATAAAAACAAACTCTTATCTAGATACTATTACATACTTACAGATTGATGAAGAAAAGGCATATCTTGTGTAGCTGCCAATCTACTAGAGAAACCTGTGCTACCATCTGGGATGCCAAAATTTAATGGTTCTCTCTTCTTAATAATTATCTGAAAGATTAATTGAAACAGAATTACAGGAGTATTTTACATATCATGTAAAAAGAAACAAGATAATTAAGTGACCAAAGTATTTTATAATTATTTTAAATATGTCCTGCCTTTCTTTCTTTAAAATTTATAATATAATTTTTTTTAAATCTCTAAAGAGTATCAAAATTCTTAAGCAATTGTCATACAAATCACTTACATATTAAGAAAAATTCCACTTTACTTTTTCTAAAAAGAATAAATTTTCCTCTTTTTCTTTCACTAGCCCCATAAAATAGAAGTTGGCACTTTTAGTCACTGTATTAAATAAGAACACGTGTTACATCTTTCTAAAAGCTCTCTTAGCATATGGTTATTGATGAATGTATTAACTCTTTCAAGGCAGTAGTATTAGCTGTGTAGCTTAAACATTCTCAGTCTAATTAATTTATTAAGGTACTAGTGTAATATTCTGGATTTCTACTAAGAACAGCAATATTCTTCCAAAATATACGGTATTCATCTACTAAGAAACTCAAACTCCTTGAAAAATACACAACTTAATGCTTTTCAGCACTGAGACATTTGGACAGCTTAACAAAAACAATCATGATTACAGAATGTAAATGTTATCAGCCTTGAAATTGTCAAAATAAATTTACAGCTGAAACTGGTTGGGAGGTAGAAGAGGGTGAGAAACCCTATTAGAGAAGAGTGGAATAAATAATGTCCTCTTTTTATAAAGTATATTTAAAAAAATATTTTCTATGCATGACTGAAGAAGAAATGGAACTCTAAATATGTTTACTTATTTATTTTTTTGAAATGTCAGAGTGACTAGTGAGGTAGACTGGAATAATAACATCATAATATTTGGAAGAGGGGGAATAGTAGTGAGAGTAGTATGAAACAAACCTCATCTAGGATAGTATGAAGCCAATGGACAATGTCTGTGATTGGTAAATCAAGACACAGCAACTTAATATTATATATAGATATGATAAAAAACATTACAAACCCAAACAGGAAAAGTTATGAGCGATTGCTTATGGGAAGTACAACTGGCTATGGGGAATGATGGGACAGAAGTTTGTTGCTTTTCATTAAAAGTTCTTCTATATTATTTAACTTAATTTTTTAAGTACATGTACTATTTTTGATAAAAAGAAAGGAAAATAATCAGTCACTGTTCTTTTTCCAATAATTCCCCTCCACCTTTAAGTGATATTCCATATCCAACTCAAAATGGATTAATTAAAGTGTGGAAGATTAACATAAGCTCACAGTTATTGTGCTCTCAGAGCCTTACATCAGTTTTATAATGGTTATGAACAATGGAAACTATACCCATCAGTTTGTAGACATCGCTACCTGTGAACTCTCTTAAGGTCAGAACTTTATCTTATTCAGCTTCGTCTCTACAGAACAGACTGGAATCTAGAATCTGGTCTACAGTTGGATTTCAGTAATATTTATAAAACTTTAACAGATGTAGGGGTACAACTTACTAGATCTACGTCTAGTAGGTTGAATATATCAACCTGTTTAATATGACAGAAAACACAACAAATTGATCATCAGAAAGAGGCTTTCTGACAAATATCAATTATACTAATTTTGACTACAGGAATCTGAAAAGCAGTTTAATAGTTTAACTTCCAAAAGCATAAATCTTTAACATACTTTCTGAGTTTTCCTTATAGTTGGTGTCATGTCCTTAAAATAGTCAGGTTCCAGTTGTTCCAAAGCATTTTGTTGTGTCGTCACATTCCCATTCCCTCCTTCAATCTTTACACTTGTGGGTGCATCTTCATCCCAGGATGTCCACTCTTCAACATCTGCCTACATTTCATTGACAAATATTGTCAGTCACAAAGGAGTAACCTAGTCAACATCTCAATTCATCATTTATTAGAAAAACAGGCTTTCTAGGGGAGCCTGGCTGGCTCAGTTGGTTAAACAACCAACTTCAGTTCAGGTCATGATCTTGTAGTTCATGAGTTCGAGCCCTGTGTCAGGCTCTGTGCTGACAGCTCAGAACCTGGAGCCTACCTCAGATTCTACATGTCCCTTACTCTCTGTCCCTACCCCACTTGCTCGCTGTCTCCCTCTCTCTCAAAAATATATAAACATTAAAAGAAAAGAAAAAAAAACCTATAGGCTGTCTAAACAATTGGTTTTCAAACTTTCTGACCAAAAGGAAAATACAAATTTTATAACACATACCAAAACTAAACCAAAAGTTTAAAAAAACACTTACTTTTACTAGAAATTAATCAGTTCTATCCATTAAAAAACCAAAACCAAAACAAGAGCAAATGCTTTAAAAATTGAACTGACATTTAAAGCTACAGTCCATTGAAAGAATATTGAAACTTGCATCCTAAGCTTAACCAGGTTGATTACCTGATTTAAAAAACAATCAACATTCTTGATAGAATTTATAGAAGACAGAATCTCAAATGTAATATTCAAAACGTCTGTGAAACAACTCAAAATTATTCAGCAATCAATAAATTTCAACTTGCATGGAAAGATAATATAAATGTTATAATTATCTAAGACTTTAAAGTAGTTATAAAAAAACTTTAACAAGCAATAGCAAACACTCTTGAAATCAATGGAAAAACAAGATAGAAAATCTCAGCAAAGTAACAGAAAATACTATGAAGAACCAAATAAAGATTTTAGGATTAAAAAATATAACAAAAATCCTGACTTGACTACCAAATTAACTTCATGACATACTAATTAATGGTCTGCAATCCAGTATGAAAACTATGGTTCTGGAACCCTTATTCAACCTTAAAAAAAAAATTACCTGTTTAGGAACTGATGAATAATCAACTGTAGTTGGTAAAGTTATTTGGTCTCCACTTAATTTCCGTCCTCTACCAGATCTAAAATGAAAATGAAATAATTTATTTTAATAACTACCAAAACAAGCATTGGTAAAAGAATTATAAACAGTAACTGAAGGCTTATAAAAGATCTTTTACAATTTTGCGATTATTTATTTTAATAATTAACAGTTGCTCACTAAAATATGAAAAGAAAAGGCATGCATCAGGTATCTTTTCAATATTTTTTAAATCTTCGACAGGAGAAAACTGCTTTTTGGCTTAGGACTCATATTATAGATAAATTCAGGAGGAATATAAATACAAAAACAAAAATGCCAAGTGATTTCAAACCATGCTTTCTCTTCAAACCATGCTCTGTAGGTGAAGCTCTGGGACACCTATGCCATTTTCAACAAGATGGCTTGGCTTTTGTCATATATATATATATATATATATATATATATATATTTTTTTTTTTTTTTTTTGGTAAGATTACCTATTAAACTATTCAAAAGTTTGAAAATCACTGGGTTGAATTAAACTGTAATTGGTAAGTTTTAAGGATTAGTAGGAAAAGCACTACATTAAACAAGATATGTATTGTAACTCAGTTGTTAAGAGCACAGGTTATCAGAGTGCCTGGGTGGCTCAGTTGGTTAAACAACTGACTCTTGATTTCGACTCAGGTCATGATCTCACGGTTCTTGGGATTGAGCCCTGAGTCAGGCTCTGCACTGACAGCTTAGAGCCTGCTTGAGATTCTCTGTCTCCCTCTTTCTCTGATCCATCCCTGCTTGCCCACTGTCTCTCTCTCAAAATAAATAAACTTAAAAAAAAAAGAGCATGGGTTAAGGAAACTATGTAAACCATAGTTTTCAATGTTACTTCTTTTAATTATGAGTCTAGTTAGAATCAACTAACCTCTCAGCCTCAACATCCCCATCTGTAAAATGCAGGTATTCAAACCTACTTTTGTCGAATTGTTGTGAAGATTTAATTAAATGACATATTTCCAGCGGCTAGACACCAGACAGTGCCTGGTATATAATAAGACACTAAAAAATTGGTAGCTATTACAAATGATTAATCACTTGCTTCATTTTAAATAATCTATAAATCTACTTAGAGCTAACTGGTAAAGTTAGCTATTTTTACTACAAGATTAGAAATCATATCTTATTTAAAGGATAAACAGATAATACAATCTACTACTAAATTTATAATGCAAACCCAGTATTTTATAACACATGATCTAGGTTCCTTCTGACACTTAAGACAAGCTTATTCTATAAAATGAATCAATTTTCTTTTAGAATGAACATACAATCAATCCTAAATATATTTATTATTAAGAATTATAGTGAAATTTATAATGGCAACAATTATCCTTAATATTTTAAAAATCAAATGCAATTTCTTATACTAAAAGTGTTTTAGTTTTAGAAAATACATATGCAAAGAGAAAAACACCTATAATTTATCTCCTGTTAACCTCTAGCCTTCTGGCAATTAATGCCCATTATTTATTTTTTCAAAGATGTGCTTTATTTTTTTAAGTGTTTGTTTATTTTTGAGAGAAAGAAAAAGACAGTGTGGGGGGGGGTGGGCAGAGAGAGAGAGAGAGACAGAGGATCTGAAGCAGACTCTGTGCTGAGAGCAGAGAGCCCGATGTGGGGCTCAAACTCACAAACAATGACATCATGACCCGAGCCGAAGTCAGATGCTTAACTGAAGTCAGACGCTTAACCGACTGAGCCACCCAGGCACCCCAATTAATGCCAATTCTTATCCTACTTTACCTCATGAATTTCTGGCCATTCCTCCTCATGCTCTGATGATCTAAGCACTTAGTTCACTATTTTCCCTATTTCCCAAATCCCATTCTCTTCCTGGGTGAATTCAACAATCACCTAAATTTTCCATTTCTTTCCTGACCTTTCTTCCTCCAGTGATCATCTTCACTCTATTTCATCCACTCATTTCCACTGCCATATTATGGACCTCTTTTTTAAAAAAATCCCAATTCACTTTACTTCTAACAATAAATGTCCTTAATCCTCAGAGTTTTAGTAGTTATAAATGGCCATTTCGCCAGAGAATATATTTCCTGGCTCCTTTAAAGCTAGGTGGCCATATGACTAAGCTCTGGACAATAAGCTGAGAACAGAATCATTGTGTGCAACTTCTAAATCAAGTCTGCCACAAAAGGAACAAACAGCCTTCTACTTCCTCTTTTGACTACCCTACTCTGTGTGTCAGTATTTTTTCTTTCACAGTACCCCTAGGCCAAAACAAATCCCTAACAGTTCCACTAATTAAGTAGTTAGGACCAAACAATTTAATACTTATGTATGTCCTAACTACTTAGTAGCCATTTGAAAAAACACCATAAATAAGTTTAAGGAAAAATATTTTTATTTCATTCTTAAATAACCACAATCACTAATGCAATGTGTGTATGTCTACTGGACACAATTTCTCAAAACTTGAAATCAGATTGGCTACTACCATCCTCTTTTTCTCTTCCACATTAAATCTGGTTCAGTACTTGCTTTAATTCTAACCTAAATCCTAGCTTTGCAAAGCTAGGCCACCAAAAATACAAGTAAACAAAAACTTATCTCAAACATTCAAGAATATCATCAAAACAGCTGCAGGATCTAATGTGAACTACCTCGAACTAGTAGTTTGTGCAGGGTTAACAGATGCTGACTAAAACACATTCACTGTGTGTTTTGCTGGAAATGTAAAAATATCCTGATGATACCCCTGTGAATTTAATGTGAAGCCCTGAAGTACCTCAGCATACAGCACTACAGCTCTAGGGTACAGTAGCATGACAAAACAGAAGGAATTCCAATCTCCGGATGACTTACTGAAGCAGAATGACTTAACTGACTTGGACTAAGTAGTCCACATTCCACATTCTGGAATATCATTTAAGAGATTAAAAAAAAACAAAACAAAACTGTTTTGTTTGGGATTTTTCTGTTCAAGTTTTGTTTTGTTTTGTTTTGTTTTTTACTATAAAAACAACATTCATATTGTGGTATATAAAGAAATACTTATGCCTAATTCCACTTAACCACCTTAAAACATTCTGGTAATGAAATAATTATGTACATATAAACTCTCTTATTATAAGTTGGTTTGCTTTTTTCTGAAATTCTGTAGGAATGAGAATGTGATTTTAATTGAAGAGGTAAGAATCTGAAAGAGTGAAAAGAAGTAAAACTCCACTTTCTAGATCTGAAGTAGAGAAAATGTTTTTTAAAATATCAAAGAATAATGAATGAATACTATAATCAAGTTATTTAGTTTAAATATTGTCTGCCCTGTCTTTTTATAATTATGAAGGTATCCAAAATCAGCAAAATGATAAACAGATCAATTTGAACATAAAATTTGTTTACCTGCATATTAATCTCTTTAGGAATGAGAATACTGTTGCTAGGCAGGTACAAACTTTGAATAACCGAAACTGTGTAATAGCCATGGTGGGAATCAAAACCTGTGGGAAAAGCACAAAAATAAATACATTAAGCTGATTTCATATGCTATATTCCCATTCTGAAGTCGAGCTGAAAGATCCTGTTATGAGCTGTGAAAATCAGACATATTTTACTTTTCTTTAGAAACCACAAATATAACACCATGAATTTTAAAATTAAAATGTAAATCATATTGACAATTTGAGAAACTAGGTTTTTAAATTTTCAATAGTTGAGAATTTTCAATATTTGAGAAACTAGGTTTTTAAATTTTCAATAGTTAAATTTTCAATATTCTCAGAATGTTTTTTTAAATTTTTTTTTCAATGTTTATTTATTTTTGGGACAGAGAGAGACAGAGCATGAACGGGCGAGGGGCAGAGAGAGAGGGAGACACAGAATCGGAAACAGGCTCCAGGCTCTGAGCCATCAGCCCAGAGCCCGACGCGGGGCTCGAACTCACGGACCGCGACATCGTGACCTGGCTGAAGTCGGACGCTTAACCGACTGCGCCACCCAGGCGCCCCTCAGAATGTTTTTTAATTCAACTCTAATTATCTTTATTTTCTATGAAAAAAATTTAAAAAAAACCATAAAACAGTATACCGTCTTTTGTGCCTTTTGAAGTCTGAACCACATGAACATAACAGTACTATTCACAAATATTTTTAAATGTTTTTAACTTTTAGACAGATACATTGAATTATGCCCTTTATATAGATGAGGAAATTGATTAAGAGAGGTCAAATAACTAGCCCAAAGTCACATAGCTAATAACTTGGAAGTAACCATACAGATGATCTAGTCCAGTGGTTCATGTATTTGGGATTCTTTAAAGAAATAATCATACCTGGACCTAACCCTAGTAAATCAATTAAATCATATTTTCTAAGGGGCAAGTTCCAGTTAAACTAGTAAGCCTACAAAGGAGATAAAAAATCGTCAATAGAAAAGGTGCCAGAGGGTGCCTGGGTGGCTCCAGTCAGTTAAGCATCCACCTCTTGATTTCAGCTCAGGTCATGATCTCACAGTTAGGTGAGATTGAGCCTCACATCCAGCTCTGCTCTCTCCCCCATTCATGCTGGCTGGTGCACTCTCTCTCTAAAGAAAAAAAGAAAAGAAGAGAAAAGGAAAGGAAAGGAAAGGAAAGAAAGAAAAGGAAGAGAAAAGGAGAAGAGAAGGAAAGAAAAAAAGGTGGCAGAAAACAGGGTAAAGTGGAACAAATAACAGATTAGACAAGTCAAAAACCAACAGCAAGATGAAAGACTTAAACCTATTCTAATTAAATGTCAATTGTCTAACATCCCATTTAAAGCCAGAGATTATTAAATTAGATTAAAAAAATAAGATCTTTATACGCTACCTACAAGAAATGTACTTTAGGGGCGCCTGGGTGGCTCAGTCGGGTAAGCGTCCGACTTCGGCTCAGGTCATGATCTCACGGTCGTGAGTTTGAGCCCCGCGGTGGGCTCTGTGCTGACAGCTCAGAGCCTGGAGCCCGTTTCCGATTCTGTGTCTCCCTCTCTCTCTGCCCCTCTCCCACTTGTGCTGTCTCAAAAATAAATAAAAACATTAAAAAAAAAATGTACTTTAAATATAAAAATACGGATAGGCTAAAAGTGAAAGAATGGGGGAAAATATACCATGCTAACACTAATCAAAAACAAGTTGAAGTGACTATTTCAATGTCATAGAGTAGATTTCAAAGAAAATAGTATTAGCAGGCATAAAAATGGTCCTTCATAATGATAAAAGGGTCAGTTACTCAAAAGCACGTAACAATCCAAAATATATACATCCCTAATAACACAATGATGCCAATATCATAAACAAGAGGTGATATTACCAGAAAGTCTACAGATATTAAACAGCTTTTACTACAAACAACTTTATGCCTATATTGGACATATAAGAGTAAACGGACAAATTCCTTGAAACAAGTTATAAAAGCACAAGAAGAAATAGATAACCAGAAAATCTCTCTATCTATTGAAGAAACTGAATTTGTGGTTCAGACTTTTTCAGGCCCACATGGCTTCCGTGGTGAATTCCACCAAACCAAAAGGAAAAAGTATACCAGCTCTACACAAACTACCAGAAAACTGAAAGGGAGAGAATGAATTCCAACTCATTCCTTGAGGCGAGCAATTACACTGATATTAATCCAGACCAAAGATATTACCAGGAAGGAAAACTAGAGGCTAATACCTTAAGAACATAGATACAAAACTCTCTGTTTTGGTAATTAAAAAAAATGTAATGTTTATTTACTGGGGCGGGGGGGGGGGGTGCAGAGAGAGAGGGAGACCTGGAATCTGAAGCAGGCTCCAGGCTCTGAGTGGTCAGCACAGAGCCCAACAACGGGCTTGAACTCATGAACTGTGAGATCATGACCTTATCCGAAGTTGGACGCTTAACTGACTGAGCCACCCAGATGCTCCTAAAGTTTTTTTTTAATGTTTATTTATTTTTGAGGGGGGGGGGGGGGAGGGAGGGAGGGAAGGGCGGAGGGGCAGAGAAATATAAAACTCTTAACAAAATAATCAGTAAATCAAAATCAACAATATATAAGAGGATAATATCTCAGACCATGTGGGGCATAACCCAGGAATGTAGGGTTGATTTAACACTTGACAATCAAATGTAATTCACCATATTAACAAACTAAAAAGGAAAAACCCTTTATTCATCTCAGCAGAGGTAGAAAAAGAATGTGACAAAACCCAAAATCTATTCCTAGTAAAAACTCACTATCAACCAGGAATAGAAGGGAACTTTCTCAACCCGGTCACAGACATCTATGAAAAACCTATATAATAACATGAGACTTAATGATGAAAAACTGGACACTTCATACCTAAGATTATGAACAGCACAAGCATGTCTCCTTTTACCACTTTCAGCCAACACTGTAGTAGAGGTTCTGGCAAGTGCAATCCAGTAAGTAAAGGAAATAAAGGGAAACCAGATTGGAAAGGAAGAAGGAAAACAGTGTGTGTCTATCTAGAAAATTCAATGGAATCTACAATCAACCATATTTTTATATGTTAACAGCAAACAATTACAAATTGAAATTTAAAAAAATTTATAAAAGCACAAAACATATGAAATACTTAGGACAAATGTAATGAAAGGCTTACATACTGAAAACTATAAAATATCGCTTAGAGAAATTCTGAAGACCTGAATTAACTTAAAAAGATCTTTCAGGGCTTGAAGACTCAGCATGGTTAAGATATTAAGTCTCCCTAAATCAAATTATAGATTCAATGCAATACCAAACAAAATCTCAGCAAGTTTTTTTCTCTAAAACCTGACAATTCTAAAATTCAAATGTAAATACAAAAAGCCTATAGGAGCCAAACAACATTTAAAAAGAACAAAGTAGAAAGACTAATACTACCTGATTTCAAGGCCTGTTACATAAAGCCACAGTAATCAAAATAGTGTAGTGTTGGAGTCAAGACTGACAGAATAAAAGGTACAGAAATAGACCAATATATACAGGGACAACTGAAATTTGACAAAGATGTAAAGACAGTTCAGTGGAGAAAGGGCAGTCTTTTTGACAAATAGCACTGGGAAAACTGGACATCTAGACACAAAAACAAACAAAACAAACTTCAATCCATATCTCACATCACTTAAAAAAGTACTCAAAATGAATCAAAATCTAAATACAAAACCTGAAACTATAAAACTTCTAAGAGAAAAAATACAAACAAAACGAAACAAAAAGGACAAAATCTTGGTGACCCTGAGTGAGGCAAAGAGTTTTTAGATAGGACACCAAAAGCACCATCCATCAAAGAAAATATCAATAACTTGGGTTACATCAAAATGAATAACTGTAGAAGTTACTGAATTGTCGAAATTCAAAAACACTGTTGAGAGAATGAAAAGGCACAGCTTAGGAGAAAATCTCTGCAAAGCATGTATCTGATAAAGGACTGTTATCCAGAATATATAAGGACCTCTCAAAACTCAGTGACAAAACAAATAACTCAATTAAAAATGAGCAAGAAAACCCAAAATAACCCACCAAAAAACCATTATAACTGATTCATAAATTCAGCAAAATTGCAGAATATAAAATCAATGCATAGAAATCGGTTGCATTCCTATACACCAACAATGAAGCAACAGAAAGAGAAATTAAGGAATCGATCCCATTTATAGCTGCACCAAAAACCATAAAATACCTAGGAATAAATCTAACCAAAGAGTTGAAATATCTATACACAGAAAACTATAGAAAGCTTATGAAAGAAATTGAAGAAGACACAAACAAATGGAAAAAGATTCCATGCTTCTGGATAGAAAGAACAAACATTGTTAAAATGTCAATACTACCCAAAGCAATCTACATATTCAATGCAATCCCTATCAAAATAATACCAGCATTCTACACAGAGCCAGAACAAATAATCCTAAAATTTGTATGAAAAGACCCCAAATAGCCAAAGCAATCTTGAAAAAGGAAACCAAAGCAGGAGGCATCACAATCCTGGACTTCAAGCTATACTACAAAGCTGTAATCATCAAGACAATATGGTACTGGCATAAAAACAGACACTCAGATCAATGGAACAGAATAGAGAACGCAGAAATGGACCCACAAACATATGGCCAACTAGTCTTTGACAAAGCAGGAAAGAATATCCAATGGAATAAAGACAGTCTCTTCAGCAAGTGGTGCTGGGAAAACTGGAAAGCGACATGCAGAAGAATGAACCTGGACTGCTTTCTTACACCATACACAAAAATAAATTCAAAATGGATGAAAGACCTCAATGTAAGACAGGAAGCCATCAAAATCCTCAAGAAGAAAGCAGGCAAACACCTCTTTGATCTTGGCCGCAGCAACTTCTTACTCAACATGTCTCCGGAGACAAGGGAAACAAAAACAAAAATGAACTATTGGGACCTCATCAAAATAAAAAGCTGCACAGCGAAGGAAACAATCAGCAAAACTAAAAGGCAACGACAGGATGGGAGAAGATACTTGCAAACGACATAT